CAGACTTCCTCCCTCAATGGGCTGAGTGGCCTAACACGTACATTCCTAGATGAAACAGGGTCTGGGGCTGGAATTACCACACCCAGTGAGGGTCGGGCATCCCAGTGGAAGGGGGAACTCACAGACTGGACTAGGACTCTGCCTTCAGGAAAAGTGGGATGGAGGATTTGGGTAGGCAGGAATGCCTGCAGCAGGCAGGAACCTGGGAAGCTGCCTGGCAGCCCTGTGGTGTTAGAGCCCATAGAAAAGTCCCATGCCGTTGTGACGGGGGCTCTTCTACAGCTTCTCTCTTCAGACAGAAGCCTTCCAAGCAGCCGGCCCCAGAGGCACTGGGAGCAAGAAGTGGGAAGCTCTGGAGAGTGGGATAATAGGAGCCTCAGCCTGTCCCTGTCCTCGGCAGGGTGGTGCTCTGGGGAGAGACTGTAAATGCTTCTCTTGGTCTTTTTACGCGAGAGCCCGTTATGAGACTGGCATGGGCACTGAAGACACAGTGAAGAACACACAGGTGTGCACTCATCCATCCCAGCAGTGGTTTCCCAGGGCTGCCATAACAAAGCATCGTAGATGGGGTGCTTAAACAACAAAAGTTTATTTTCTCATGGTCCTGGATGCTGGAAGTCCGAGATTGATGTGCCGGCAGGTTTGGTTTCTCCTGTGGCCTGTCTCCTTTGCCTGCAGTGGTGGCCTTCTTGCTGTGGCCTCTCCTCTATGTATGTGCACCCCGGTGTCTCTATGTGTCCTAATCTCCTCTTTAGAAGACACCTGTCAGAGTAGATTAGGGTCCACCTTAAGGCCTCATTTTAACTGAATTTCCTCTTTAAAGGCTTTGTCTCCAAATGCTGTCACATCCTGAGTTACTGAGGGTTAGGACTTCAACATACGAATTTTGGGTGGGCACAGTTCAGCCCATAATTACGCAGTTCAGCCCATAATCCCATAGTTACCTGTTGAGTGTCAGTATATGCCAGGCACTGTGGGATATAGTTGTGAATAAAGCAGACAAAAGTCCCTGCCCTTCCGGAGCCTTCTGTGGGTTGGAGGAGTGTAGTAGTCCTTAGTCGTTGCTCCTGGCTTCTGTTGAGTAGGATTGATTTCAGCATCCACCTCTCCCCATCTCCTCCACATTCCATGCCCTGAGGTCATTTTTCCATCAGAGACAAAACCCTAGGATGCAAACACCTTGTAATCAGCAGAACAGGTGTCAGGGAGAAGAGATGGTTCCAGTTTAGAAGGGCTTCTTTAGAGTGCATTGGCGTCATCGTGGCTCACTACAACCTCCAACTCCTGGGCTCAAGTGATCCTTCTGCCTCAGCCTCCCGAGTAGCTGGGATTACAGGCATGTGCCATGACACCTGGCTAATTTTTTTATTTTTAGTAGAGATGGGTCTTACTCTTGCTCAGACTGGTCTTGAACTCCTGACCTTAAGCGATCCTCCCACCTCAGCCTCCCAAAGTGTTAGGATTACAGGTGTGAGCCTCTGTGCCCTGCCTAGAGGGCTTCTTGAGGGATCTTAGAATAGGATGGGGACTGGGGAGGAGGAGGAAGGGTATATGTTGTGAGTTCAGGTGGTGATGGCTGGGCAAGAAGAGGCAAGGGCTGGTTTTCTTTGGCCAACGGCTAGTTGCCTTCCCTTCAGTTGGGTTCTGGGCACAGGTGCCTTGCTGCTGGGGACGCTTGTTTCTGGAAGCCACAGCAGGCTGCTTTCATGCCATTGAGCCCCGGGGAGCCTCGTGCGATGCAGAGTGGGCTGCTGGAGACAGGACCACAGGCGCAGAGACCTGCCTTTTGTGGGCTTTGCCAGAAGGGCTAAGGCTAAGGAGTCATCTTCTCTGAATGATTTGCATTCTAAATAGGGTTTTCAGGTAAAATTCAGGATGCCCAGTTAAATTTGAATATTAGATAAACTTTTTAAGTACATGTCCCATGATTTGAATGTCAGAGAAGCAATATTTGGGACAAACTTTAAAATTATTGTTTATCTGACATTCAAATTTAAGTAGACATCCCGTATTTTTATTTGCTAAATCTGACAATCCCAGCGCTAGTGGTTCCCACATTAACAGAGGTGGCAAGGAAAATGGGGAAAGGAAGACAAGGATTATCTTAAATCATTTGAAAAAAAAAAAAACTTGATGAAGGAATCCCTTCCTAGCTCACTTCCTAGTTCACCCCAGCCACCCTTCCTCCCAAACTGAGACTGCCAAGGGCCTCCTTTCCACTAACAAACCTCACAAAGAGGTCATAGCCTGGTGACTTAGGACGGGCTTCCTGTCCTTTGCCGGCTCTTTGTCTGTCAGCTTCCGGCCGAGGATTGGAAGGAGGAGCAGTCTGAGCTCTGGGGAAAACTCCAGCTAAATCTCTCTTCCCTGCCCTTATTTTCTGTTGCATCGGAACCACGAGACAAGCAGAATCACTGTGCTCCAATCCAGCCTCGTTATCTCTTAGAAAAGGCAGGTGTTCGCAAGGGGGTGCGGTGGAGAGTGCGGCTGGATGTACATGGTTTTCCCACAGCCCTGGGAGACTCTGCCATTTCCTGCTGATGTCTCTTCCCGCTCTGTTGAGGGCCTCAAGAAGTAACCGTTTGTATTTTCCTCCTGGACTCCTTCTAGGGTTTCGAGGTCTTATTTTTAGCAGTGCCCTGGCCACTTGCTTCTAACTCAGGGGTCAGCAGACCTTTTCTGCTACAGGCCAGATAGTGAATATTTTTGACGTCGCAGGCCCCCGGGTCTCAGCCACGACCACTAAACTCCACTGTTGTAGCAGGAAAGCAGCCGCAGACAACACGCAAATGGAGGTGGCTGTATTCCAGCGGAATTTTATTTGTGGACACTGAAATGTGAACTCTGTGTAGTTTATTATTTTTCAACCATTAAAAAAAAAAGTAAAAACCATTCTTCATTCATGGGCCACACGAAAACAGATGGCAGACCAGACTCGGCCTGCGAGCCAGGGTCTGCCAACCCTCTTCTAAGTCATCGGCGGAGATCAGAAGCCTGGTTTTAGTTCCCCACTTCGGGGTTGAGTGGCTTTTCACCCTGAGGTCACAGCTTCTGCCGCTACCAGGTGACTGACGGGCGGGGTCTTAAGCAGTGGGTCTGGCCTTTCAGCTGCCCGCAGTGCAGGTACAAGCCCACTTCCCTTAGTGGCTGTTCAGAAAAGGCTCCTGTGTGGATTTGCACATCTTCTGTGGAGACTGAGCCGTTAACGGTCAAGTGTGTCCATACATTCAGCGTCATAATGAATGCAGTTTATAATGATCGTAGACTAATATCCCAGGGTAATTTGGGCTAATAAGTAACCAGCATATTTGAATGTGGGGCAGTTGTGTGCCTTCAGTGCAAGGCTGCCTTCCACACGCGGCTGTGTGCGTGCTCGGGCTCCTGTGGTTTCCGAGTGGAGGGATGGATTAGCCTTGACTTTTCGTCCCCCGATGGAGTGTCGCTGCACCTGAAACACGGGTTAGGAGGCAGGGCCTTTCATTCCCTAGCGTGACGGATGGCGGCTCCCTGCTTTATGGATAGAAGATGTGCTGTGAGAGGTGGACAATGGAATTACACCTCCACAGAAATCACTCCTGGCCTGAGAATCAAGTTTGCATGTGTGCCCTGTAGCTTTCATGCTTGCCGAATGCTGGGAGACGGGCGGTTATTAGGTTATGTCAAAGCAGCGTTTGCCTTAATCCACGGTCCTCCTGCAGTAACCCAATAATGGAAAGGGGAGGGAGGGAGGAGGGGAAGGTGGTGACCTGCTTATTTCTGAAATTGGGAAGCATCTGAAAGTCCAGGAAGCTTTGTGTGGTGTTAGCAGTGAGCTGTCCGGGTTCTGCACTGCGCTCCTTGCCCCGGGTTGGTTCCTCAGCAGGTTGAATCCCCTAGCCCTGGGGCCTCAGGCGAGGCAGTATGGCTTAGTGGTCAGAGACCAGCATCTGGGCTCAGACTGCCTGGCTCCTGGCCCACTGTTTTCTACCTGTTTGCCTTTGGGCAAATTACTTAATCTTGCTATTTACTGAGTTGTACAATGGGGGTATTAATAGATGTACCTTCCTCATACGACTGTCGAGTTAACGTATGTGAAGTGCTTAGAACCATGCCTGGCTCACAGTGAGAAGCATGTGACTCTTTATTGTGGTGGTGGTGGTGGTGGTGGTGAAGGTAGAGGAGGAAGTGGCTTTCTTATCCCCTGACCTCATGCAGGGAGGGCAAGTACAGCTCTGGTAGTAATCACTGAAGCTCATAGCCCTGTTCCCTGTTCCCAGAGCTCGCCCAGGAGAGTCATGTGAGCCTCGGTGGGGAAACCTTCCAGGTGTTCTTTGTGCTACTGGCTCATGGGGGGTGCTGGGCCCTGCCAGGGCCCAAGGTTCTCATGCTAGGCTAGTCACTTGCTGGCAAGACCTTCAGCTGGCTGCTAACCTCTCAGAGCATGAAATAATCAGGTGTCCCCACCTCACCCACAGGGCTGTCTTGGGGGCATGAGGGAAGGTAATGAAAGTGAAAGTGCCTTGTGAGCTCCTGAGAGGAAAGATGGGATTGCTGCTGTTATCATCCTTTTCCTCTTCAGGTTGGTCTCTTGGCTGCCTTCCTCCAGCTCCTGTGGGGCAGGGGCTAATATCATGTTCATTTTTATGTCCTCCCACTTTTTTTTGGTGGAATTATTGACGTAATTCAAGTTTGAAGTTGTGTAAGGATGTTATTTCTGATCCCATTTCTTCCTTCTTCTGCTTTTTTTTTTTTGTTTGTTTGTTTTAAATGAAGCAGGGTCTCACTCTGTTGCTTGGGCTAGAGTACAGTGGTGTTATCACAGCTCACAGCAGCCTCTAACTCCTGGGCTCAAGCGATCCTCCTGCCTCAGCCTCTGGAATAGCTGGGACTATAGGCACATGCCACCACGCCAAGCTAATTTTTTTTTTTTTTATTTTTTGCAGAGATGGGGTCTCACTATGTTGTTCAGGCTGGTCTTCAACTCCTGGCCTCAAGTGATCCTCCCACCTCGGCCTCCCAGAGTTCTGGGAGTACAGGCATGAACCACTGTGCTCAGCCCTTTCTTTTTTCTTTAAATTATACTCTTGTGTTATCCCTGTAGTGTTCTCAAGTACAGTCCAAAGCGGAGCTATATTCAAATAATTATTTTTTTACATTAGTTTTTCTGTGTGGCTCAGGCTTTTTTTAAACAGAGAAATTCCATCAGATCTCATCAGCTTCCATCCTAATGTTACCTTATTTAAGTGTCTTCCTGTGTCCTGACTTGGGCCGACTAGTATACATTTTACTTCACTGTGTTTTACATGTATCATAATTGTTTCAGTTCAGGGCAGTACTCTAACTTTTAAGAGTTTGAAAACTTTGCTCTGGGGCCTTCTTGTGGGGCATCTGAGAGTCTTCTGAACCATTGCTTCTGAAATGCAGTTGCTTTCTGGGATTCCCAGGCATTGGGAAGCTGTCTCTTTGATGGTGACATTTCTAGGAATCAGGGCAGGACTCCCTACCCCAGCTGGGGTCCTTCCCAAGCCCTCTCCTTAGCATCTTGCCAAGAGCAGCACCACCTGTGTGTCTCTCCCTGACCAGAGTTGACAAGAGAGCAGTTCAGGGAGGTATGAGAAGGTACCTGGGGATCTCTGCCCAGTGGATGAGGGATTGCGGTGGCCACTGTGGTGGCCGCATCCCATGCAGGAATGTCCTTCTGTCCTGGTGGGAAGGTACCTCCCATATATTCATGTTAACAAGGGTGAGATACCGCCCTGTGAGCTTCCTGAGCGGGAGATGCTGATGGTGAACCTCACGCCTTGTTGAGTGCAGGCAGCCCAGCCACTTCCTACCCTCGCCGCACGCCCCTCCGCCTCTCAGACGCCATACTGCCTGCTTGGTTCCAGGTGACTTTTCAGCACGTCCTCATCTATTCCCTTTTCCTCTTCTCGTCTTTTGGTTAAAAGGCCAGGCTGGGGACAAGGATTGTTCTGCACTAAAAAAGACAGGCAGCGCTGAGATGAATCTTGGCAACCTGTTCAAATTTTGATCTGGGAGAAGCTGTGGGTTGGAGATGGGGCTGGGGGGTATTGGTTGGTTCAAACTGCAGAGAGCTCGGCTGGCTATGCAGTCTTGAGCTAAAGAGCTCTGAGGCTCTGACCTGAAAATTATGCTTTGGGAAATAAACATTGAGGACGTAGCCCTGGCAAAGAAAGGAGTGCTGAGTGGGAGAAACATGGATCTGAGTAGCATGGTCTTTAATGAAAATTCGAACCCTTATACTTTGGAAGCCGGGGTGTGTTGGAACAGGGTGGGATAGAACAGTCTGTGGTTTCTCTTATCTGTACACTCCTTGAGGGCATGACTCTTAGCATCCCCAGCGCCTGCTGCTCCATAAATAGTTGCTCAAGTGATTTGAATGTTAGATTTCTTTTCTTTGACTGGAAAGGACATTAGAAACCTAACTTCCTCATTTTGGGAGGGCCCAGGCCGGCTAAGCGGCCTTGCAGATCTCATAGCCAGTCCTTGGCATGGTGGAGCTCTAGCCCCACCTTCTCCCCTTGTGAGGGGCATATCTCGTTATATCATGTTGTTCTTCTAATTAAGTCGTGGATAATGTCTGTGGCATACTTAATTTCTAATTAGACTACTTTATGGATCAATTTGCATTTAATGTTAAATCTAATGTGGAAATCATTAAAAACTTAGATCCCCAGGGAGAGGAATAGGTACTTAGTCCATGCCTATTAAAAATAACAAGTATAGGCCCTGTGTTAATGCATGAGGCTTTTTATGTGGAATGGGAAAAAATGAGTAGAAAATGCAGAACATGTAGGTAGCCTGTGTGCTTGTGAAATGGGGAAACAGGTAGCGTTCAGGTCAGACTTTACAATGCTTGTAGGAACAGCTGCAACAGGTATCATTTCCTACAGCTTTACTGTGTGTCAGGCCCCTGGTGCATCCTTTAAATACATTCTTTTATTTAATTCTCAGAACAACTCCATGAGGTGAACATTGTTATCCCCCTTTACAGATGAGGAAACTGAGGCTCGAGAAGTGAAGCTCTCACAGTCAGTTGCAGGTGAAGGCAGGATTTGCATCCTGGCCAGTTTCCTTTCAGAGTCAGCTCTTGACTAGACTGTGAGGTGCTTCTGTGGGTGCCCAGTAATCATAACCAGTAGAACTTTGCAGGTGGTCTGAGGTCAGAGCCCATTTGATTCTTAAGTGCTTGCTGCTGCTAGTAATTCGAGGGAGGTCATCAGCACCTCCTTTTATGGCTTTAAGGGAGAGATAAGTGCCCTGAGGTGCCAAGCCAAGGCTCTCTCGCAGCATCCTTGGGCTAAAGGGACAGTCCTCAGTGTCTGCAGTGTCTGAGGTCGGTACCTCTTCTGGGAAGCTTCTCAGAGTTAACTCATCCATCACCGTGGATCTTGTGTGTACCTCGGGTTTCCTTTGGACCATGTAATCTTTATGGGTTGGACTTCTATTTCTTTTATTTTCTATGTTTGTCTGCTCCGTATTTAGTTAGATGTTAGATGGTAAAGAATGTGGTTTTGAGTCCAGACTCTCACTTAATGTCTGGTGTTATCAGGCAAACCTCAATCCTTGCTAGTTACTGGTCTCCCTCTCGGGTAGTTGTGAGGTTTCCTTGAGGACACGTGACTGTGGAAGTGCCTGGCCAGTGCATGGTGTGCACTCGGGAAAGAAGCGTGCCCTCTTGCTCTCTCATTGTCTCCTCCTGTAGGAACAGTATCAGTTTTGTGATTAGATGACTGGGTCCAGGGGCACCCACATATTTTTCTGGCTCTTGCTAGTGCTTACTATTCGTTTATTCAGCCATTATTTACAAGGGCACAGTGTCCTCAGGCCCTGCTCTATCCCCCATGTCCTGGAGCTGGCTCTGCAGTGGGTGGGGTGAGGGGGGTAGGCAAACAGGCAAACAAAGTCTTACATGTAGTTAGATGCCGATACTGTCTACCAGCTCACTCATTCATTCACCTATCCTTTCAACAGACATTTTTGAACACCTGTTATGCTCCCAGCATTATGTTAGCATGGGGCACGTGAAATTGGATAATGTCTGTTAGCCCAGGAATTATTTCACCAGAAACAAAGGTCTGGAAAACATAGATCACTCTCTTGTGTTCTTCCACATTGAACATTTTAACTCTTTGGGGTTAAATATTCATTTGAACAAGTGCAAACTTCTAAATTTGCTTCCCCCCCACATACAGCAGATTTTTCTATGTGGGTAGGGAGATGGCCATGTGAATTTAGGAGTTTGCAGTTAGCAGATGTTTGCATCATCTTAGACTAGCGCTTCTCAGATATTTCCCTGAGCATGAGAATTGCTTGGGAGGCTGGTTAAATTCACATTTAGGCACCTCACTCCCAAATATTCTGAATCACAGGTCTAGGTCGGGGCCAATCGTCTGAGCTTTAACTTGCAAGTGCAGGTGAACTGGTTGCAGGTGGACTATGAACACACATAGAGGAAACAGTGTCAGATTCACACAGTACTGGAAGAAAGTTTAAGCTCATCATTTTATTGAGGAGGAAACTATTTCTCGGGAGGGGAGGGGCCCAGGCATTAGAAGCAACAGTGGACAGGATGGGCCAGGGCTTCAGAGTGGAACAGACCTGGAGTCTCATGTTGTCTCCACCATCCTGTAGCCGCATGCAGACAGCTTTGGGTAGGCCGTCCAGTTTCTCTGAGCTTCCCCTTCCTCATCAGCCTGCCTTGCTGGTGGGTCATGCTGAAACATGTGATTGGAAGCATCCAGGCAGAGCACAAGACTAGGTATTGGTGCATGCTAAAAAAAATAACATACATACTGGTTTCCCTAATTCCTGATTCATTCTTTGTGAGTTGAACTGCTGCATATAAACCCCTTGATTTCTCTCTCTTTTTTTTATTTCTCTCCAAAAAATACTATAACCACAATAAAAGAAATCAAAGAGAAGAGAGGAAAAAAGCTCATCCACAGAGCTGCCACCCTAACACAACTGTTTCATTTTAACTTTTAGCCCTTGTCTGTATGTAGGCATATTTCTATATAGCTGTAATCATCTGTAAACTCAATTTTGTATTATGCTCTTTTCAGTAAACCTAAGTAAATGCTTTCCAAATGGTTACGTAGTCTTCAAAATGATTTTTAATGGTCTTACAATCTATCATTCCACAGGCTGAATTTACTAAACCATTTATTTACTATTGGACATTTAGATTTTTTTTTCCTACAGTTTTGTGCTATTATAAGTAATACTTTGAGGTACAACTTCATCCTTATTGTAGATTATCTTCCTTAGGGTGAATTCCCAAGAGCAGTATTTCTAGGTTAAAGGGCACAAATATTTTTCTGGCTCCCAGTGGATGTTGCTAAATTAAATTGCTTTCCAAAAGGGTTGTACCAGTTTACAATGCCACCAGCAGTGCATGAAGGTACCAATTTCAACATCTTGGCCTGAGTTGGATATTGGAATTTTTACAAAGGTGTGGCTCAGTGGTGCATGATTGTTTAATTGGTATTTCTTAGATTATGGTAAGGTTGGGTATGGCTTTATTTATTATTATCTTTTTAGATTTTATTTAATCTTTTTTGTTTTCTTATAGTGAGAACCTAGCTGGTTGAGGTCAGATTTTCTGTGTACAATTTTTTAGATTCTTGGATTTTATAGTTCAAAAACCAAACTAATAAAACCGAAAAACCCAGAGTCCCTCTGTATAATAATAACTACTTAGGACATATTTTATGGTTGGATTAACTGTTCGTGATCTTTACTTCCTTATAGGTCACAAGTTAATAGGGTGATATTTGGAGGGTAGAGGGGCTTTTCCTCTTCTTAGATTCTCCTTTGTTCTTTCTTTCCCTCCACCATCCCCCCATTTCCTGTCTCTCCCCTCCCCTGTGTGCACTGTTTTTGTCTCTTTGGAGATAAAATGTAAAAGGATCATTTTAGTCATGCTCTTTCAACTTAAAAAACATAGGTTGCCTAAATTACGTAGTATGGGAACGAGGATAAAGAAAATCACAGCATTGTAACAAATTGCCTGTAACTGCATTGCAAAAGCAAACGTCTCCCACGAGATCTTAGAAAGGTGTGTTTGAGGGTGTAATCTTAGCTTGTGGTTCAGGGGAGCCCAACTTGTTTTTCAAGTTCGTCTTGAGTAACTTTGTTCTTTCTGGAATGCTTGCCATCCTCAGTATGACAGAGTTTGCTTGATGACAAACTCTTTTACTCTGCTGTACATACCGTGGCCACTGAACTGGTTTGTTTATTTGCCTGGGGTAAATGATTGAAATGCACTCCCTTTTGCAGCTGAGCTCTTGTTCCCTGGGCTCCCTAGTGGTGAGCCAGACCCAAGTCTAGCCTCACAGTGGCCCTTGAGCTCACACTACCCTCTGCCCCCACAAGGACCAGGGGTGTGGACATGGTTTCCTGAGCTCATGGGCTCTATCCTTCGGTGGTGCTGCCCCAGTGGGTGCGTGCTAGCAGAATGTGATACTGGCAGGATAGCCAGATCTGTGCACGTAAGAGAATGGTCGAGGCTCTGTTTCAGTTTAATTTGTTAATGAAACAAGACGGAGCGCATTTTCCCTTCCCGCACACCTCTCGGGCTGTTTGAGATGAGGCACAATTAATTTATTTGTACTGTCTGCGGAGGCGTATGCCGGCTAATGTAGTGCAAGAGCTTTTATCTTTATGTTTGTAATGAAGAGGGGCAGGCTGCTGGCAAACTGACAAGGAGTGCTGATGACTCATTCTCTGCATGCAGAGAGCTTTCTTCTGAAATCATAAAATGCGCGCGCACACGCAAGCCTGGTTCCTGTTTGAGATGGGCAGAACCTGTTTGGGAAAGTTCAGCTGCTTCTGAAACACTGTGGGGAGAAGAAAGAAAAGGCCGGCGAGGCCGTGTCTGCAGCTTCCGGGCCTGGCCTGACCGAGGGCAGGGTCTCTGCTTGCTCTGTGGGCACCTGCCCTGGGATGGGAACTCCCAGCCTCAGCCTCGCCTGGCCTCTCCTCCTCGCTGGCTCCTTGGTGCTTGTCCTTTGTGCTCCAGTAAGCAGCCTTCCCCACCTGCCAGGCCCAGGCGCCTGATGCCTGGTTCACCTGGCAAGACCTGTGCTTCCAGGCTGCTCCCTACCTGGGATTCGGGCAGAGAGTGCCTTGGGGGCTGTGCTTTATGAGGCTGTGAGCTCTTGGGCTGTTTGATTTTAGCCTGGGAGTGCACGTGGGGTTCCTCTGGCCTTTGCTTGAGTTCCCCAGACCCAGGACGTGGTGGTGGCAGTGTTGGTTGTGGTTTGCTCTGCCACCGTGTTTGACTTGCCTCAGAAGACATAGTTCATGCAGTAATTAACATTGGGTTGGCCCTTTGTAGTTTATAAGGCTTTCTGGCATGAAAACAACTTTGTGAGTGGGATATATTGTTGTTATCCTCATTTTATGGATGAGAAAATCAAGGTGCACAGAGGTTAAATAACATGAGGTAGTAGTGACCAAAACCAGGACTTTGGAGTCAAAAACCTGACCTCATGATCTTTTTGTGATATTCATTCGTTAAGGACAAAGTGAAACTTTTTCCATGATTCTGTTCAAGAATCATGTGAACTTATATATATATATTTCTGTAGTTCTGTAGAACAGTAGGAAGTTCACCGGATACTTTCTGGAAACTTAAAGCAAAAAGTTTGCACTGGTCCAGAGAAATAAACTATAGTGTAGTTTAAGAAGTTTTCTTTCCTGTGCTGGATGTCTGATCCAGCTGGTCATGCCAGGAGTGCTAAGTGCGCACACGCCCCAGACTGTCCTATCCCCTGGGTGCAGTTAATGGCAATCACACCATGCGTGGCCTTACCGACTTTTAGAGCCAGCAGGAACCATGGCAATTTTATAGATGAGGAAACTATGGCCTAGAGTGAGAGATTCTGTGTTGGGAGGAATTCCATTCATTTATCCAGCCATCCATCCATGCATCCAGGCATATTTATTGAGCCAGCCTTGGGCTGGGAGATAAGGCTTAGGCTGTGAATGAAACAGGCATAGTCCTGTCTTCAAGGAACACACAATGGATGGCGCCCGAGCAGGCACGGGTGTGGCGTGTTAAGGGCTGTAATGAGGGAAGTCAGGTACCTTGGGGGCGTATAACTGAGAGGGGGAGAGGTCAGCAGGGAAGCCTTCCTTGATTGGGTGGTACCTGTGGTGACGAAGGATGTTGTTGAAAGTCATTATGGAGGACCTGTGTTGACTGAAAATTCTCAAATCCAGTTGAAGTGAGGGCCACTAAAAAGACTTTGCCTGCTTGGAGACAGCCGACATTAGGCTCTGTGAGGCTCAGGCGTGTGTCAGAAGTCCTCACTCTCGGCCCGCGCTGTTAGGGGGGCGATGCGCTAGTCTGAATTGAGATGCGCCAACGCCGCCATAAGCACGCAATGGCCACTGGACTTCAAAGGCTTCATACGGAAAAAGAACGTAAAATGCCTCACTAACAGTTCTGTTTATGTTGATTACAGGTTGAAGCGATGATTTCTGGATGTGTCGAGCTAATGAAGTTGTCGGAATTAATTTCACCTCTTTCTTTTCACCTTTTTAAATGAGGCTACTGGAAAATGCGAAATGATGCGTGCAGCTCCCGTTCTGTTTCTGTGGGTCTGGGTGGAGAGAGAGACCCTGGAGAGGAAGCTGTGTTGGTGATGGGAGGATTCTGAGAGTGAAGAGGTGTGAATTGGGTCCTGCCAGTCCTGGGGGCGTAATCTCTGGCAGGCACTTTGCATGTCTGAACACTCTTGCTCTGTCTCTGACATCACCTTGACCAAGCTGGGGTTGAGAATAAAGTCAGAATGCCTGTGAAATGCATTTTAATAAAATGTTAAGTGAAAAGCACATCTGCTTGTGAGCTATGGTGGTTCTCTTTGTAATGAAACTGTTTAGGATTAAGACCATGTATACCTTACTGTGTACGAATATTTTAAAAGGCAGGCAGACATTGTGGTCAGTTACAAAATAGGTGGCTGGTGTGTGGGAAATGCATTCGGTACTGTATGAATTACAGCCTGGAGTGGGATCTGTGTGAGATGCTGTGGATAAGAAAATTCCTTTTCTGTTGTACTTGGCTTGCTCTGCTCCAGGAATTCCCTCACTCCTTACATCAATGTTTGTATGCAGGCTTTCATAGTTCATGTTCCTTATTTTGTTTAGTCTCAGAAGGGCAACGAGGAAAATTCCCTTTTTGATCTTCAAGTATTTGATATTGAATTCCTGAAACTTGATGGGTGCGTTGCCATTCTACCACTGTTTGCCGAGAACCTATATGTGTCAGGTGCCCGCTGGGCTGCAGGGGACAGCCCCTAACCTCAGGGTGCTCACTGCTGGGATGAGACAGGGGCAGTGCAGCATGACCAGGCCACAGTGGAGGTGACTCCAGGACTGTGAGCGACGTGGACAGTGTTGCTAACTGCTACATCCTGTGGGGATTGACTCGATGACAGACAGCAAAGGAGGGAGCTGAGGGACCGCTGTAGCGGACTGCAGGGAACTTTCTTGTGATTCCCTTTTGGACAGGGAGACCGGAGATCTGTGCTTACCTAGGATTCTGCCAGCCCCCAGCGGTTTCCAGCACGGTGGCAAAGTTCGATATTAATGTTGCACCTGTATATTAATTACACTTTTCATTGCCAGTTTTCCTACTTCAAAGACGGAGCACACAGATAGCCCTCCCCGTGGGGAGTGACCCAGGCTAGTTGGAAGGCTCTCAGAGGACCAATGGGGCAGGGACAGTTTGTCAGGGGTGAACAGGGGGCATCTGAGGGGCACGAGGGAGCTGTGACCTGGTGTGGAGTTGGCAGGCAGGCAGACAGCCATTTCAGTGGGAGATAGCATCTGATACTCGTCCCTTTAGGCTAGTCTTGTAATAGCAGCAGATAAATAAGCTGCCTCCAGTGTGTTCCCAGAATATCTCTGTCTGCAGAATGTCTTTGAGGAGATGTTTGACTTGCAAGCATGTGGTTGATAAAATAAATACATTTTAGAAATGTAAACCTCTCTGTGAGAGGTTTTAATCTCTTCTCTCCCCAGGGAAAAATAAGGACCTTCTTTAACCTCTTTTCTTCCTTAAGTGTAGAATTCTTGCCATGCTTTATAAGAAAAACATTTTTGGAATGTGGCACCTGTAGAAATATAAAGGGGCTCTGCCCAAACCACTGGGCCATGGCTATTGTGTGGGTGGTTTCTCGGATGTTTTGTGAAGAGATGTCAGCCCTGACACCTGCAGAACATTTGAGGAGCTGACTCAGGGGTGGAGGAGCTGGAATTTAGAGGCACTTAAGTTGTTTTTAGTTGAATTCTGAGGGCAGGCAGCTGTACTGAGTGATCTCCTCTTTAACATCAGAGGAGCTTTGCCATTCAGTGACAGCTGGCTATAACAGAACTTGGTGCCTAGAAAAGTGCCTGGAGTGATGGAGGAACTTAGTATATAGTTTTTGCAAGCATGCATGCATGCATGAATGAATGAAGTCCTTTTTTGGGCTTCTAGGTCATGTGGGTGAGAGTTCCCCAGGCCTTCCCCTTGCTTCTTGAGAGCTGTGTGTAGACCTGCACCATCAGCATCAACTTGTTAGCATGTCTGAGGCACCTGGGCATCTTGTTAACATGCAGATTCTGATTCAGTGGATCTGGGATAAGGTCTGTCTGCAGGTCTAAGATGCTCATAGGTGATGCCAGTAATACTGGTCCATAGCTATACTTTAAGTAGCAGAGTTCTGTTAGGGTTCAGTCAGATCATTAGTAAGTCTTTAAAGTTCCCAGTAGACACTAGGTATCTCGGATAAAGACGGAGGTGTAGGTCCTCGTGCCAAAAAACATGTAGTGATGGTGAAAAATCAAGACTCATCCCTCTAAACTGGAGAAAAGCCATTCATTATTGTACTGTGTGGTATGATAAACGGTCAGGGGAACACTAGAGGAGGGAAGGGCCTTCTTGTGGAGGTGGTACTTGAGCCACAGTAGAGAATCATAAAATCTTGGAATTAAAGTTGTGTCTGGTTCCAACCCACTGGGATCCCTAAGACATGGGATGACATTTGGCCATTCAACTTCTGCTGAAATGCTCTCGCCATAGAGAATGCAGTGGCTCACTATTTCCCAAGGCATGTTGCCAGCTGTTATCTCAATGAGATGCCCTGAGAAAAGGCTTTGCCTGGGTGAATAATGCTGAGATGTGTTGCCTGTTCTGTCTGCACGCTCCAGATTCACTGTGCGGCATATCAAAGGCTCTGCTATGTCTGGCATTGAGGCAACCCGTTCAACTTTGTTTTACCCAAGGTTACTGGGTCCAGCATATTAGACCATAACTTTCGTCCTATTTAATTAGTGCTTATTAATACATTTTAGCAGCTTGTGTCAGATAGTTCATCGTACTGAGTCAAAATAGGACTCATTTAACACTCATAAAACATTTATTAAGTAGCCATGGTGTACTAGTCACTCTCCAGGGATATACACAGAGGAATAAACTGTCTCTTGCTTGTACAGCGCTTTATTGTTTACAAAGCACTCTCACAGGCTTTATCTTGAATTGTCAGCAGAACCTTGTGAGGTTGTATAAATTTTGCTGCCATTTTACAGTTGAGGAAGCTGAGGCTGCTAGAGATGAAGCAACTTGTCCAAGGCTATATTCTTTCTAGTGGTACCAGTGGGATTTGGAGGTTTGATACCCAGCTGAGTGTTGTTTTTGCTGTATTCCTTTTGGCCCTGATTTGGTAAGAGAGCACATAGGTAGATTATAAAAGCTTGATTGAGGATTTGAACTTGCCTGAGAGAAATAGAGGTGTGGTTTCCGGAGCAGGGATGGCTCACTCAGCGCTGAAGGAATTGGAATATACAGATTAGAGGGAACCTTAAAGGTCGTTTGGGAGACTCTAACCCTGTACTTCGTGGAGGCTTCTCCTACAGTGTATTCCTAAATAGTTCAAGTGCGTCCTAGAGCCGCAGACCTTTTGATGGAGAGCTCACTACAAGGGCTGTTTATTTCACTTTTAGACCATTCTCTTATGTTGAGCTCAGAT